ACACCACTGAAGCTGCATTTTTACAAACCAGTTCAGGTTCATCTGTTTCACTCAACGATTTGCTTTGCCGCCATGCTTTTTCCGACATGCGCGTATGAAAACAAAGGCACTGCACATGCGCGTTTTACCGATATTCTATCGCCATACTTCATTTTCTATCGTTGCCCAACATTACACCGGTATTACCGTGAACGGTGTGATATGGCCCAGCCCTACTTGCATCATGGCTGGTGAAGCCTTTGTATGAGACCACCTGTGGGTCCTTTGTCATCTAAAGCTCTCATCAGTCAAGGCAACATGAAATTCCACAGATGTGAACATCATGAAAAACACGAACAAACAAGGTTTACTGTCGTGCAGAAGTAACTGCCTCAGGTGATGGGCAGCATGTACATTTATTATGTAATGACCTGAAGAGAGACGAGCACATATTACAACAGCTTTGAAGTTTATCCTTCCACTGACTCTTTTTATATCTGCCAAACTCAGCGAGTGTCTTCGGCATCAGCGAGAGGCTGGGCTGTCCTTGACGTCCTTAATAGAAGCCAAACAGATGGAGCCAAATAATGACAGTCAGGTCAGCACTTACACAAATGCTCGGCTCCCCAAAAACGTCTTTCAGTCTGTCGTGTCTGTCCAGGATGTGCACGTTGGCGTCCTCAGAGGACTGCTCGCTATCCTTCAGGTGCAGGCCGACTGCTCCGCCCCCACCCGGTCAGACAGAACCGAGGAAGCCTCTAGAATCGATTCAGACACAAGGACCTCATCTAATAAACACCGTGTAACCTGTGTTTCTTCTTCTCTCAGTGTTTGTGCAGGCCAACAAGCTCCAGCAACACATCTTTGCTGTCCACGGTCAGGAAGACAAGATCTACGACTGTTCCCAGTGTCCACAGAAGTTCTTTTTCCAGACAGAGCTACAGGTAGGACCTCTTTCTATCTCCGTGTTGACATTGACCTCATTGTCCCATCTGTGTACTGTTCCAGGTAAACTATTAGAATAGTGCAGGCGTCGCTGCAGCACTGTAGTGAATGAACTTTGTGCCCAGGAAGTGTACAAGAAGGTGTAATCTTAATGTCCTAAACAAGGCAAATGCTTTTCAGTGTTCCTCAACATCCACTAACTTCAGCACGTCCTGTCCCTCACACCTACTCTTTCACATACTTCCTGTTTATCTCTGCGTTCTTCTGTCCCTCTTTTTCCATCTTTCCTCATGAGGTCTGGCAGGCTTCGTGTTATTAGGGTCCAGACACTGAGTGTGTGTGTGAAAGAGTTGAGTGGATATAAGTCACCCAGAGTGGGTCCTGGACCAGCTGTGGCCAGGTCTGCGATGATGTAAACCTTCCTGTCATCGTCCATCTCATGAAGCCTTTGGCAGCTGAGAAGTCAAACATGGTTACTGTTAGCGGTGAAGCATCGTGACATCGACGTATCTGAGACGTACACGCGATTTAATCCCACATAAAACACTAAATATTTACACTTTAATTAGTTTTTGTTTGTGGGTCAGTGTGTCTCCATGAAACCTGCAGAAGCACCATCATCACACGTCTGCTTGGTGCTACTTCCTGTTTCTCTGTTTCATATATTACATCTTTATTGGCCTCAGACTCACACAGCTGACGTTTGATCAAAAAAGCAGAAATATGTGTTTTTATTTATTTATTATGTTGATGTGCTTCATCGATAACTGAGAGAGTCAGAGACAGAACAAAAAGAAAACATTTTGTAAT